AATACCAGAGAACTATTTATTACTTTTTGCTTGATATTATAATCTAGTAATTATTTTAATTTTACATTTAAAGAAAGAATAGAATTAGTGATAATTGCAGTTCCATCAATACTGAAATGAACAAGATGTTTATTGCAAAAATATTTTATAACACACGAAATAAGAATAAAATGTGTCACATTTTAAAGGAATATTTTAGCATTTTTACTGCCAAATTTTAACTGGCTTCTGGAAAAGCATCTTTCATAAAGGCAATGGAACAGAGCACTTCAAATACTACTGCTAAACCAAAATACTGTCTAAATTGCAAACTCTTCAAAAAATATTGAAATATTCTGAAGTGCTCTAGTTAATCTCAGAAGATATATATATATATACTTTAATCATTGGAATAATGTTCTCCACTTGATTTAAACAACCTCATTTACAATAACACTTGTACTCCACATCCCCTAAAAATCTCTCCCAGTAGTTTGAGATGATGACCAACGGGAAAGATATTCAGTATTGAGAGATAGCATAAGCCAAACAATAAGAAACCCTCCTAAATTGCCTCTCCCGACCTCCTCATTATCTTTGTGACTAAATTTCTAGGAAGAACAAAAATAATTTCCACCATTCATGCCAAAAGTATTTGAAGGCAATGTATATCTCCAACCAACATAAAAAGGGAAAATGAATTCCTATCAGTCTTTGTTAACAACTTAAGTGCCACCCAGATGATTATACTATAAACAAGCTGAAAGTCTATAATTAAGGAAAAATTACCAAGTAAACTTTAATTTTGATAGAAATCAGAGAATCTAATTAAGGCAATGCCCAAACCTAACAAATAGCTCAAAGAGTTTTCTGACGTTGCCTGGCTAGAAAATTAAGATTTTCCCAATAGTTTACATCAGCAAATGATTAGAGATGACAATTCTACACCACAATGATTTCATTATATTTTCTAGAGGTTCTATGGCTCTATAAATATCCTTTTCAAATGAAATAAATCATAACTGTATTTACAAGCTAGCTAACTGACTACTAGGACACACAATTAGAACGTTAAAAGTTCTGCCCAGCTTTTTCCTTGACTTTAATTATTCATGCCTTGAGTCAGTTGCCTTTTGTCTTATGCAATTCACTTTTGCAAAACCCACCACAAACTATGTACTTACTGCATTTGAGAAAGTTAGGCCCATTTCTGCAATAAGAGCATTGGTCTTTTTCAAAGGTGTCTGAAATAAAGGGAATATATAAAGAACTGTACATTGTAAAAAGGAAGATGTCACGACTACAATCTTTACAAAATAAATAAATAACACTACATGCGCTAGAATTTTTCCCAGCTGCACATTTTGAGGAGCTGTGTATACAGTATTCCAGCTAATCCAGAACTGTTTGATGTTGCATGCTTTAATCTTCAACAATAAATGTTATAATTGCAGAGTCAATATTCTTTTGGTACTGAAATCTCAAAATTGGAAGGGAATTATTCCATTATTACAGTATATTAAATTCTTGCATGGAAAATCATCTGATTTCTGCTCAGATGTCCTTCTTTAGGAACAAGCATGCTACAATAGTGGAATTATATATTAAATAGAAAACACCTTTAATTGAAATATTATTTTAATGTGAAACCCTCATGCTTCACCCAATCATTAGTAATGAGAATAGTATGTAGTAAACAATTTTTTTAGAAAATGTATTTTAGGCAAATGTCATTCACAGCCAATTCTGATGGGTAATTCAATAAATATTCTGAATTTTTTGTCTTTCAAGTTTCCATGGAATCTAGTTTAAAATATTCAAAGATTGCTTCAGGACTCGGCTAGTATCTTAAATAGCATGAGCCCCAAACCTGAAGCACAAACCAGATATTATTCACACCCCAAAGAATGTAATAACAAACCTTGAGGCAGAAAATCCCACAAGCATTTCTGCTAAGGAATAAGAGCACAACCCATAAATTAAGCAATTTCCTTCCTTTTAGATTACTCAAAATCAACTGCTACAAATGGGCTTCTTAATTCTAGAGCAAAATACCAACAGATGCAACTCTGTCCCAAGCCTTTGCACACTTCACTACTGTCTCAACACTTATTTTGATGGGTTCCACTACAGGTGCATGCAGGATTGGGTGCATTTCGTCTACACGCCACTATGGCTGCAACTGTTTTTAAAAGTATAGTAAGAGGCTCTTTTGAATCCCTTTTTTAATTCATGGAATGGGGAAACAATCAGACCCCAAGCCCAATCGGTGTGTGTGTGTTGCTTCCTTGATGACTTCAATCCTCAATATCCCCGCCTAACAAGCGGTAACTTCTTCTATTCAAGAAGTTCCAGGTAGTTTCAGTTCTCTCCCCCGTTTCCCTTATTCATGCAGAGTTAGGTTGCATGGTGCCCTCCCTCCCCTGCAAGCTGCAGGGATGCAAAGGTAGCACAGACGTATCATGAGAACTCTCCATCCCGGGTTCTGTGGGCACCGAGGTCGTTCCAGGGGGCTTTTCTGCGCATCCTTCACTACCGCATCCGAAACTCTCCGACCCACCCGCGTTCCCTTCTCCTGCTCCCCCCCACCCTTCCCAGCCACACGGCGCATGGAGCAAGAGGACGGTTACCATCCCCCCCAGGGAGACGTCCTGGTCATCTGTCAGAACCAGCACCACGTTGGGCTTCCGCTCCCCGCTGAGACCGGCCGCCCCTGCTGTAGCGCCGGCCCAAGCCGAGGAAGCGAGGAGCAACAGGAAGGCCAAAGGCCGAGCGGGAACCAGGCGGGCTCGAACCATCGTCCTCGCACCCGAGAGAGCGGCTCAAGCACCGGACCGCGCGAGGACAGTCGCGAGACGAGGAGACGCGGCGCGCTTCCTTGTTTCCTTTCCTCCTCTCCCCTCTGATAGGCCGGCGGGCGGAGCCGAACCAGGGTCACATGACCCGGGGGCCTCCGGCAGCTTCCGCGAAGGCCGTCAAGAGACGCTCCCGGGTCCTCCGCCCACTCGCTGTGCGTCGTTGCCGCGCCCCGGTTGTGATTGGCTGCGGTCGCTTCGGCCGTCGGTTTCCTCGAGGGAAGGTTGCCAAAGGGCGGCGTCAGGGTTTCATAGGTGTTAAGACGCTGAGTCCCTATCGCCTGTTTAGTTGCTGGATGTTTGTCAGAACCATATAAATCAGGGGTCTCCAACCTTGGCCACTTGAAGACTAGTGGACTTCAATTCCCAGAATTCCTCAGCCAACAAAGCTGATGTATTATGGTATAATCCTTTACCAAACCATGGAACAAAATATTGTTTAAAAAACACAAATAAACAACAGTCCTGTCAATTTAGTTATCTCGTAGCTAATTTGCATCCAACAATGGTGGGCTTTACAGCATTTCATATCTATCTGATCACACGGTTACAATTTCCACATTTAGCTGTAGGTGCATGTATGCTTTTAACTTATGATAATGGATGCAGGGGCCCAAAATATACATAAATTCATTCGTTATTAAAACCCCAGACTAATTTTTTTCTGTTGCAACAAGACAACATTATTGGTTTGTGAATTCTTTAGGAATTCTATTTGTGAATCCAGCCTTAAACTGAGCATGAAGTAGAAATTGCATGAAAAGTGAGGTGTTATGTTGCCATGAAACAAATAAAATTATGATTCAGATTTTAAGTGATACTTGTTTTTAATTTTGTATAACATTTTGAATTTTTTTTCTTTAAAAGGCCTATACAGGTATTTTTATATGAGATGCTTTATCCACACATTAACCAAGTATTAGTCACTTTATTATCCAGTATGTCACACAATTTTTAAATGTTGGGTTGAGATACTGTGTTTAAATTAAGTATGGGTTAATTCTTATGTAACCAAATAATTCCTATTCCAATTATGTTTTAAAAATGAAATGTCACAGGCAGAAATAATCTTTGTGCACATATTAAAATGCTTTAGCTGGTATGGTTATGTTTAGCTGGCATGAAACTTGCTTATGTTTATGGTTTAGTTTATGGCAGTGGCTGTGCTTTTACCATGTGCTTATCCTTTATTAATTTACTCAGGATAAACTTGAAAATCTGAGTTTAGACAACACATCAAACTAAACCAGTGGTAGTCAACCTGGTCCCTACAGCCCACTAGTGGGCATTCCAGCTTTCATGGTGGGCGGTAGGGGTTTGCTGTAACTCTGCTTTATAAATTTTATAAAGTAAAGTTACTTCCCTACTTTATAAATTACCATTACTGTGGAACCGGTGGGTGGTTATAAAATTTTACTAGTAAGAGATATAAAAGTGGGCAGTAGGTATAAAAAGGTTGACTACCCCTGAACTAAACTATCACACTGGCTGGATTTATACAGTAAATTGCATTATAATTTGGCCAACCACAGAACCAGTTTGGTCTAGTGGTTAAGACACCAGACTATAAACTGGGAGACTGAATTCTAGTCCTGCCTTAGGTATGAAAATCAGCTGGGTGACTTTAGGCCAATCAAATTTAACCTAATTTGCTGCATGTATTCAGAGACGTTGCATTCATTATGTAACTAATTGTTAAATTAACCTTGGCTTATGTTGTGTGAGAAAAGCAAAAGGAAAGTTTTGCTGTCCATTCACTTTTTAATGGTGTATGGTTTTCCTTTGCAAAATGCAAAATTAAGCAGGTCAGCCACAGCTCTTAGCTGAAATATAATCATTTGTTTTTGCTACCTATACCAGTTTCAGTGTGAAACCTGTATCACTTGTTCTAGAATAGATAAAGTCCAAAGTGGTTAGTGCAAAACCGGCCGACCCCATCTACTGCAGCGGGAGGTTCCCTTGGAAAGTAGCAAAGGACCGGTGATTCCAAGTGAGCTGATTGGTCACGGCAACAGGTGCAGAGCGGGGATTGCCTGGAAGCCACTCCCTGTTAGAGGGGTGAGGAATGCGAGCCGACTGCTCGCCGACAGCAAACAGTCGAAGAGAGGCTGGAAGGGACGTGACGCTCTGCCGGCGCAGGTCCTCGCTCGAGCAGGCGGCTTTCCCTTCCTCTTCCACCTCCGTTTCGTGGAGAATGGGACAAACCCGGAACTCTGGCCCGACAACTCTTCAGGCGGCGAAAGCGTCGCTCACCCCCCTCTCATAGCGGCGGCGCTCCGCAGCCGCTGCGCCCGAGGCGCGGAGAAGCAGCCCAATGGAGCTCACGGAGGTGGACTTGGGCGACGACAGGGAGGGCGCTGGAGCAGAACCTGGCAGAGGTGTCGCGGAACCGTCTGCTCGGAGCAGAGTAAGCAGCCACGCGGGCAGCCTGGTGGAGGACAAAGAGGCGGAGCAGGAGCCCGGCCGGAGCAGAAGGGCCAGCCGCGCCTCCGCTCTGGTGAGCGGGCTGCTGACCGAGCTCTACAGCGCGGCGCGCGTTCGCCACCGCGACAGCGTCGACAGTTCCACGGAGGCGTCCGCCGGCTCCGACGTCTTCCCCGGGGGCAGAGGCAGCAGCGCCGAATCCCGCGTCCTGCAGGAGCTGCTGCTGAACTCGGGTCAACGGCACCAGAGGAAGTACCTGGCTCAGAAAGGTAAAGCCTTTGGACCGAGGATGCCTCCAGGGTTTCCTCTCCCCTGGGCCCCGTGTCGTCCTGTCGGTGCGAAGGCAGTTACCAACAGGGGACTGGCTTCTCGGTCTGAGAGACGAGCCGGGCTCGGTCTGCGCTGGGTGGTCTTTCTGGGAGTTAAAAGCAGGAGAAGCAAAGCAGGTGACCCATCTGGAGTTGGCAGAGAAAAACTAAAAAAAGAAGCGATCGTGATTATGATAAACAGAGCTCTATTAAAAGATAGGTCAATGCCCGGTCCTGGTTGTGAATTTATGGCAGGGCTGTAGGAATTCAGTTTGAGATAAAAGATAATGAAAAGCAGTGTCTAATGTCTTGAGGATTGCAAAAATGAAAACCCTTTAAACCTTGATTCTGCTTCTTTATTTGTCCTGATCCTCTTATTTGAAGGAAGTGTTTCAGTTAATTGAGACATGTGTCAGTCAAAGCAAGATTCTCTTTGTTTCTTATGGGATTTTATTTTGTTAGTTACCTTATACATTATTCTTGTGCCCCAATTTATTTCAGTTAAGCAGAGATTGCCCTCCCTGCCCACCCCAAAGGGTGGGATGAAAAAAGACCTCACAGGGACTAAGAAGAAAAGTTTTCCCTATATCTCTGCACCTCCCATCAGCCAAGTTGCTTTCTTGAAGGCTGGTTATTTTCTTTTGCAAAAGCATTATTATCCTGCACATATAAGTAATTAATGCAATCATAATATACATATTTCCCCTAAGCTTAGCTTTAAGGATGTTGCCTGAATTTTCTTCTCTTCTCTTTTCTCTCTCTCTCTTAATTATTGCTTCCTTTGTGCTGTTGTTGCTTTAAATGATAACCTCTGGGCAGGTTGCTTTTTACTACTGGAAAGTCTTTTAAAATGAAGATGATTCAAATATTCTAAAGTATTAAGCAAGAAGCCGTTCCCTATTCTGTCTGCAATAGTAATATGGTGACCTAACAAGAAGTTTACAAGGATCACCAAGATGGCCCATGTGAAAGCTGAAAAGATACTTTATAAAGGATAAGAACTATCATCTGATAGAAGTCTGTGTGATCACTCATATTTGAACTGAAATTTTCTCTGATGTTAATTCCAATTGCATAGAAAGCTGTCTAAAAGTAGTGCTCTGCTGTTAGCCTCTTGTTATTTAACATATTCCATTAGTGTATAACTCAGTACTGAACCTGTAAAGCATATTTACAGTAAAGTTTGTGCTATAATTTTTGTTAGGTGAAGAAAATATCCCCCCCCGTAGATTTTTGCTGTGTCTGTTGCTATTGATTTTTAAAAAAATATAGTGTTGGATTTTGTTAATTAATGAATGACTGTTTGATACCTGATTTAGTATGTCTATTATCTACCGTTACTTATTAGTGATAAAACCGCTCATTTGTTTTAATTATGTAATTTCATGAACAGTCACCAACTGCTAATTTTAAAAAAATCAGTTTGATGTCTGCTTTTGTCCACTAAAGGGTGCTTTGTGAGTGCATGGAAGATTTTTAAAAAAGATTTTGAGTACAACCTTATTTAAGTAGAATTCTGTAAAGAGCATCACAGTGTTTTATTGTGTTTTGTTACATATAGCATCTAAATCTTATGGCAAATTAAGATTGCTACAAATTATTTTGATTCCATATGATGTCACTACATAGAAAAAACTTAAATTAGAATTTTATATTTGAAAATTTCAAATTCAGTCTATAGTAAAATCAAATAGACCCAATAAATTAAGGTTCAATTCTATTCATACCTACTTTGGAGTAAAAGTATTTGAAATCCATGCAGTTGTTCTAAAATTGTAAACATTTTAATTAAATAATTATTGGTAAAATTCAGATCCTCAAAAATATATTGAATGCCAATAATAAATAAGTTTATTCATTTCCTGTGGCTTCAGTTAAACTCAGCAAATAGTTTAGTATTCCTATAGTTTCCTTCTTAGTAATATTTCAGTAATGAACCATGCATGTCCCAAGTTAAAGAATACATTCAAAGTTATATGGAGAATTTGGATGTGGTTTTAATTAATGATTGCCTTGCATTTTTCACAAGAGTGATTCTAAATAATAAAATTGATGTCTAACATTTTCCTACAGTATTCTTTTATAAGACTTTGTAATATACATTACCTTATAATCATGCTAAGAATTTTACCAAGGGAATCTATAGGGATAAGACCCTTTTGAAGAAAGCCATACTGATTGTCAAAGAGGAAAATAGATTTTAAAGTTGCAGATTGCATCCTTTGGCCCTTTTTTCTTTTCTTGACAGATTTTAGTGAATTGACAACAGTAATACAGGAGTTGAATTATAGAATTTGTGTTCAGTCAGCCAAACTGCTTCGCCTTCTGAAACAAAAGGACAGACTTTTACATAAAGTCCAGAGGAATTGTGATATTGTAACAGCCTGTTTACAGGCAGTTTCCCCCAAACGACGTAAGTGCTATTTATGTTAATCCAGAAATATTATAATTGTATTCCAAATGTTATGCTACTGTTGTATTTTCAAAATGCTTTTCAGGATAAGAAAAATATATTTCTATAAACTTTCTGTAGCAATGTGAATAGAAATTGGTAAAGGTTTTTATATAGTAGTATTTCAGAACTGAAAGCTCTGATTAATATATTTGTGGAGAAACTTTAAATGGATAAAGTCCTGATTTTTATATAACAAAAATTTAAGGCTCCATGCAGAACATATTTTCCAAGTAGTAAATCCACTGAATGTCAGTGTGAAGGCCAGTTTCCTTTAGTTTCAAGAAAGCAGAATTCAATTATAATTTCTTCAAGTTTAGAAACACGTATGAACCATTTATTGGAAAATATATCTAATCATGAAAATACTACTAGAGTAATGTGTCATGGTCATTGAGTCATTGATAATAGTCATGGAAACACAAGTTATTCTCATAAATGTTTTAAAGCTAACTGTCTTGTGTTTTTTTCATTAACATGCAGCATGGCAATGTGCTATCTACAGGTACAGTACATAAAGTAGTTTGAAGACTGCACTAAAATGAACTGGTGCATGCAAACTATCCATGTTAAATGTAGAATTTTTAATGATCTTCTAGTTCTGATCTTGAGGAGTACCAGATTAGAAGTTTCTACTATTTGATTTTAGTAACTGGTTAGAATTTTGTATAACATAATCCTAGAACATGGTTCCTCTCCACCGTCCAGGCCTTCCGCACAGCCCTTAAGAACTGGCTAGCCCGTCAGGCCTGGGGACAAGGATAGGCGCCCCTCCCGAATGATGAATGTATGTTGCTTGCTATTTTATTATATGTCTCTATGTCAATGTTTGTATTCCCCCTCCCTGATTTTATGTGAGCCGCCCTGAGTCCCCTCAGGGAAAAGGGCGGCCTACAAATATTAATAAAATCTAAAATCTAAATCTAAAATCCTTGGAAGTAAGATCCAAGCTTATTCTAGGAAACATGCATAGGTTCCAGGCTACACCACAGATTCTTTAAATATAAGTTTGTATCATACGTCAGAGATTTAGACTAAGCATAGCTAGCTCTTGTTTTTACTTTGGCAAAATAACTAACCTGCAAATAAAAATCAACTAGCATGGCAATGATACTTTTGCATGGTTTCCTGTGATGTTTTGCATTACAGATAGCAAACTGCAGTATCAGTTTTGAACATCATATAAATGCAACATTTTGCTTAAAGCAGGAAATAAATTGTGCAAACAAAACTGCAAAATTCAGCTATTTATAAACCTGAATGTCTGCCAAAATTTATTAACACATACACACATTTGTGAATGTGAAAGTAATAATTAAACTCACCTCAACATTATTTTTAATATCACTGCAAGAAGGCATTATTCCTCAGGGGACACATATTTAATTATTAGAATGGGAGAGAGGAGTGCCAGGTTCAAGACCTTATAGTGGGACCTCGGGTGCCGACTGCAATCCATTCCAAGACTTTGGTCAGCACCCGATTTGGTCATGAACAAAAGCAAGCCAAACTGTGCGCACACACACACACACACACACACACACACAAAGTGACACGGAAGAGGAAATTGCTGTGGCTGTGTTTATTTGGCACCCACAGATGTGTTCGTGATGTGAGTGAAACATTTAGCAGATTTTTCATTCGGCACCTGAGCCATTTGGGACCCGAGGTCTCACTGTATTTGGCCATTGAGCAAACTTGGTGATCTGAGGACAGATTGTCACGCTGAGCCCAAAGGACAAACAGTAGACAATCTCAACTCTCTTCTTCCTAAAGTCTCCTGAATTTTATGCACCGTAGCCTTGCCTACTTGCCCTGATATGTAGCTTGGTAATTATCATTATTGTTGTTGCCACCACTTATCTTCTAGAGAGATACCTTTACTTGGCACCCTGTCCTTTGAACTCAGCATGTGTATAGCTAAGGATCCCACAGCTTTTATCCTTACTGTCCAAGAATAGAAAAAAATGATAAAAAGTATCATTTAAATTAGGGACATCTGCAACAAGCCAAGATTTCCTCAAAGTGATGTCATATGGGCTAAAACATCACAATGCAAACACTGCCTCTTATACATTGGCACTTGCAGGCAACATCAGAATAGAAGTATTAAAGGGCAAAGTTTACATTGGGATATTGTGCTGAACCCTCTTGTTTAGGTTCAGCATTGTCAAAAGAAGTTGGCTAGTTTATTTAAACTTTCCTTGATAGGCTACGGTCTAAGGGAGTGTATCACATTTGAAAAGATAGGGTTAATATGTGGGTCTTAGTACCTATGTAAGATGGAGATAAACAAAATCGGCACGTCTACACTCTTTGCAGCAAAGAACAATGAATTGCTACAGTAGTCTCTGGGTAACAGTGGTAATTGGGACCAGGAATTCCATTGCTAAAACAACATGACCACAAAGCATGATGTGACATGATCAAACAGACTTATAATAGCAGTTCCAGCAGTTCCAGTTGCAGTCATTAAAGTCAGGTGATTGCCATTTGTGACATCTGACAGGCTTCCCAAGTGACTTAGCTTGTTAGAAGCCTGCAGTGAAGGTTGTAAAGGAATGGTAATGTTGTAATTGCAAGCTGGCTGCCAAACACTTGAATCATCACATGATTGCAGGGGCACAGGGGCACCCACAAATGCAAGGATCATTCATAAATCTCCTTGTTGAATGCTGTGATAATTGAATGATTATTGAATGAATGGTCACTGAACAAGAACTACATGTATTAGAATTTAAAATTGTGGTAGCAAGAATCAAAGACTGGGTTCACTATTATACTATTACCTTCGAGACTGCCTGCTGACGCATACCTCCCAGTGACTAGTAAGATCCCATAGATTGGGCCTCCTTCGGGTGCCGTCGGCCACACAATGTCGGCTGGCAGGCCCTCGGAGGAGAGCCTTCTCGGTGGCTGCTCCGACTCTTTGGAACCAGCTCCCCCTGGAAATCCGGACCATACCCACTCTGATGGCCTTCAGGAAAGCCGTAAAAACTTGGCTGTTCCTGCAGGCCTGGGGTTGTTGACCTCACTACTGAGGTCCGGTCCCGACTAGAATGAATTTGATGGATGATGGTTGTTTTAAATTGTATTGTTTTTATGTTTTTTTATATTTTGTTTGTAAGCCGCCTGGAGTCCTTTGGGATTGGGCGGCATATAAAAGTTTTAAATAAATAAATAAATAAATTCAAAGCCATAATGTAACTCATTCGGTCTCAGATCTGTTTTCCATATGAACCATTGGGTATGCAAAGTACTCAGAAAACAGAAATCAAATATCCATGCCTAATCTGGGGAGTATTCGGTCTAATATTTAGAATTATCATAGTGTTGACTAATACTCATCTGTTCACAGTAAGAGGCACATTTGAATGGGTGTATTAAATTTGATTTGACATGAAACTTGTTGCATTATGGAATGGAAACTTGTTGCATTATATTGTTTTTAATAAGAATCAATATTGTACTTTCCTCCTTTGTGTCTGCTATAGTCTTAAGATCTGCCAAAGGTGCTTGTGTGTTTTCCATTTCTGAAACTTGTATACTCAAATGGATTACACAACTTGGTTGTAAAAAGATTGAGCTAAACTTTGGTGATGCTATCTTGATTGTGGAATGTTTTGGTACAAATGTTGGCATAACAGTTGGTATCAGTTTAAGATTTAGATTTTACTAAATAGATTTTACCTTATTTTTTCAATTGTAAATTTAGGATAATTGGGATATAAACATTCCTTGGTAAATAAAATGCTTTGCTACAATAACACATATCTTTGATTCAGCATTGCCTTAAACTGAGTGGTTTTCCTCAGTTCTACCTCAATAGGCTAATAATGTAATCTGTAGTCTTTATCACTGGATCATGTTTCATTACCTTAAGCTTCCTTGGAGTTGTCTTATATTTACAAATAATTTACATTTGTGAATTTCTTAATACTATGTGTGGTAGTATTAACCAATTCAAGGATAAAATTATTCTGAACTCTTTGAACCTAGGAGACTTTTCTTTTGTAGGTAGATTACAGCACTGCTTCTTTTGTTAGGCCTAAGTATTATATATCTTTCCATTTGACAGTTCTGCAGGGACTGATTCAGTTGGCCACCAAGGTTTTAAAATGCAGTTAGCCATCAACTGCTAAGCATACCTATGTGACTGAAAAAAGTCAACATGGGATCATAGGGCATGATATACACTGCATATGTGTTAAAGCTAACTAGGTAGTCCTTGATGTATGACCACAATTGGGACAGAATTTCCATTGCTAAATAAAGCAGTTGTGCTGATTTTATGACCTTTTTTCCATGGTTGTTAGGAAAATCACTATAGTTAAGTGAATCATGTGGTTTCTAAGGGAATCCAGCTCTCCTCCTTTGACTTTGCTATTGGAAGCTGACTGGGAAGATCTTCAATGGTGATCACATGACCCCAGGATGCTGCAACCATAAAATACATGTTAGTTTCAGAGTGCCTGAATTTTGATCAAGTGACCCTGGGGATGCACAACAGTTGTAAGTGCAAGGACAGTTGTAAACCACTTTTTTCAGGGCGGTTGTAACTTTGAATGGTCATGTTTGGTAGCCACAATAACTCTTGTATTGCACGTTGTCCCAGAAAGTCTTTGAGAAATATAGACTAACTGCATAGTAAATTATGCTACAAGGTATTAAACACTCCTTGTTCAAACACACAAGGCACTGAGAGCACCCGTCTACTGGTAGAAAGTTATTGCTGCACTTGTATACCTTCTATTTTCCCCACAAAAATAACCTTGTGAGGTGGGTTGAGCTGAGAGAGAATGACTGGTTCAAAGTCACCCAGCTGGCTTTCATGACTAGAGCAGGATTAGAACTGATCATCTCCTGGTTTCTCTTTCTCTAATAAATAGAAAATTACAAATTTCAAAGAAAAAGGATTATAAAGAAATGATTTCAGATTATCTTTTGCAGCAGTTATAAAT